TTTTTTTTTTCCAGAACCAGGGATTGAACTCAGGCTCTTGTGCTTGCCAGGGAAGCACTTATTCCACTGAGCCATCTCCCTGGCCCTACTTCCTTTCTCTTGTCCCAGCCTGGTCTAGGTCCTTCAATGTGTTGCTGGGACTTATAGTCACAGGACATAAGCTTGAGAGGAAAAAGAGATAGGAGAGGTGGAGAGCCCGGGAAGGCTGGATGTGCCTATGGGTCACTGACTTCCCCTGTCCTGTCTCCTGGGAGAGGGTTATGGTTTGCACCTGTGCCCATATTACAACTATGAAGACTGAGGCATGTGGACACAGGAGATCACCTGAGTCCATTGGTCTCTGAGACTCCAACTTTGTGGAACCAGGGATTGAACTCAGGCACTTGCACTTGCACTTACACTTGCCAGACAAGCACTTATTCTGAGCCATCTCCCCGGCCTCTCTGAGACTCCGACTTTGGGTCCTTGACTCCCTGGCCTGAGCTCTCCTCTCCTCACACAGCCATAGGGAGCTGGGACTTGGGGCAGTTGCTGTCTGGTTTCAGGGTACAGCATTCTGTAGTGTCTGTAGTCACTGTCACTCTGCTGTCTGCAGGTTTTTTGGCACCAAATGGATGATGTTCCTGGCTGTGGGCATCTATGCTCTCTTTGTCTCCACTAACTACTGGGAGCGCTACTATACACTTGTGCCCTCTGCTGTGGCCCTGGGCATGGCCATTGTGCCTCTTTGGGCCTCCATGGGCAACTACATCACCAGGTGAGCCTGGTGGGCAGGAGAGTGGGAGGCTGGACATTGGGTTCAGTCTCTGCTGCTTGGCCAGGTTCTGCTGGGCAACCTTGAACAAACCCCTTCCACCCTCTGGGCCTCCATTTCCCTGCTTGGGCTGGCTGGCTGATAGCTTCGGGTGCAGAAAGTGGAGGTGGGACAGAGCCTGGACCAGGGGTGGCCTTTGCTCCTTTGTGGTTCAGGATGGCGCAGAAGTACTATGAGTACTCCCACTATAAGGAGGACGAGCAGGTGCCCCAGCAGCGCCCACCGCGGGGCTCCCATGCGCCCTATCTCCTGGTTTTCCAAGCCATCTTCTATAGCTTCTTCCATGTGAGTGCCATGTGGGGCACTGTGTGGTGGGGCAGTGATGACATTTTAGACCCAGAATCCACCCGTGGAAACCCCTTGCCCATCTTCTCAGCACTCTTCCTACCTCCCTTCCCCGAGCCAGTCCCTATTTGCTTACCTCTAGCAACAGAGACTGCATGCCTTTCCTGTCTCCAGTGCTGATCAGAAGGAAATCCTCCTCCTTTGGACATCTCACCACCACTAGGCAGTCCCCATGGGTGGGAGGGCACCTGTCCCATCAAAACTGTGCCCAGATCCCTCCCCTGACCACGCTAAAGGCCTTGTCCTGGGCTTTGTGCCTGAGTCTGGCCCCATCTGCCCTCTCCCCGACAGCTGAGCTTCGCCTGTGCCCAACTGCCTATGATTTATTTCCTGAACTACTACCTGTATGACCTCAACCACACACTGTGGAACGTGCAGAGCTGTGGTCAGTTTTCATATGGGGGGGTGAGGTCCCCAGAGCCCACTCACCTCCCTCACCTGGGAGAAAGCTGCCATGAGAACTTGGGGCCCAGGGTGTGGTCAGTGCAGGGTGAAGGTGTGGCTGTGGGAGGTGACTGATGCCCCCCTCCCAGTCTCTGGCCGTAGGGTCAGAAGGCAAAAGAGTTGAACCTCCCCTCCTGCCAGGGCACGCCCAGCCCCAGCCTGTCCTCTCCACCCCATCTCCACTGTCACTTGGCTGCATTTTGTGGCTATGAGATGACAGTGCACCTATTCCGGCCTCACAACGTCCGCACTCACACTTTCCAGGCACTAACAGCCACGGCATCCTCAACGGCTTCAACAAGACGGTTCTGCGCATGCTGCCGCGGAGCAAAAATCTCATCGTGGTGGAGACTGTGCTCATGGCAGTGGCCTTCCTAGCCATGCTGCTGGTGCGGCCCGGCCAGGGGATAGGGTGGGGGGCGAGGAGCAAGGCTGGGTGCGGTTTTCGTGACCCAGTCGGAAAGCATGGGCCATTGTCCGGGCTCGCGCGGGCTGAGTCCTGGAGACGTCTGGTGCCTGCTAACCTAAACTGGAGCTGGAATCCCAGAAACCGGGAGATGGGGAGACTGGCTGTGAGGAGCTTGTGGAACCTTCCAGGGTTTGGGCTGGAAAGTGGAGCTTAAAACTGAAGGCGTTATTGAAAGGCGGGGCTAAAGCACGAGGGGCGCGCTTAGGGCGTGGTAGGGCAGTGTGGAGGTGTGGCCTTGGGCCGAAGGGAAGGGCCGAAGAACCAGGGTGCGTTCGGGAGGCGGGGCCCTCTTCTGAGGGCGGAGCTAAAGCCTGGACGGCCCTGAGATGCGGGGCCTGGAGCGAGGGTGGGGTTTAGGCTGCGGGTGAGCTTGGGGGCGGGGCCCGTACCTTGCTGGTCAGCCCTCTCAGAGCTCATCTGTAGGTGCTGGGCCTGTGTGGCGCCGCATACCGGCCCACTGAGGAAATCGACCTGCGCAGTGTGGGCTGGGGCAACATCTTCCAGCTGCCCTTCAAGCACGTGCGTGACTTTCGTCTGCGCCACCTCGTGCCCTTCTTCATCTACAGCGGCTTTGAGGTGCTCTTCGCCTGCACCGGTCTCGCCCTGGTAAGTACAAGCCTGCATAGGGTTGCCAATAAAAGGGTGTCTTATTAAACTTGAATTGCATATAAACAACACATAATTAGTATATATTTAACTATTTACAAGTGTGTCTCAAATAGTTCCCTCCCTCCTTCTTTTCTCTCCTTTCACCTTGGATAAGTTATTCTAACATCTCTTCAATTGAGATGAAGCATATCCGTAATGTATTTGGTACTGCGCAGGTTATATCACTTTGTGTCTGGGGCTGTGTGCCACTGATTTTACCATTTTCTATACCCACGCAGCCTTCTCATCAACCTTGCAGGGAGGGAGCGCCCAGGAAGTCCACAGAGGACAAAGTGGGCCTGAAGTAACCAGCTTCCTGACCTCTGGTGCTTTTTCTCTTGTCCCTTAGGGCTATGGCGTGTGCTCTATGGGGTTGGAACGGCTGGCCTACCTCCTCATTGCTTACAGCCTGGGAGCCTCAGCTGCCTCATTCCTGGGCCTGTTGGGGCTATGGCTGCCACGCTCAGTGCCCCTGGTGGCTGGGGCACTGTTGCACCTGCTGCTCACCCTCGGCCTCTTTTTCTGGGCCCCTGTGCCTCGGGTCGAGCAACACAGCTGGATCCTTTATGTGGCTGCTGTTCTCTGGGGTGTGGGCAGTGCACTCAACAAGACGGGACTGAGCAGTGAGTACTGTCATAGGTACTGGTATGGCTGGGTGGGACCTGTGGCAACTTCTGGGTGGTTGGAAGGTAGTGACATCCCAGGGACAGACATGAGGTCCTATGGAGACAACAGGGGATCTGTCACAGCCTTCTGTAGACATGGTAGAGAGAGGGGGGGATCCCTATGGAAAGTCTAGGGCGGAAGTCCCACCCACAGTGTAGGACAGATGGGGAAGTCCCATGGACACTCTGGAAGCAGGGATGGGAGTTCCATAACATGGTTATTTGGTGATACTTGGGAGAAAGCATCAGGCTTGAGAAGATTGGCATGAGATTTTGGTGGCTGTAGGCTCTGTGGAGAGTCTTAGGGACAGTGAAAAACACAATAGGGACAGATGTCTTCATACCTGGAGGCAAGACCCAGATATTGGCAGAGTTTCCATGACTTTGGGAGCAAATGTCAGGCCTTGGTCCCAGGGAGCGTGAACAGCAGAAGGCAGTCCTGACCATGTCCTAGGGTATACATGCAGATCGGGGTCCTCTTTAAAATTTATTTTCTGTTCTGTACTTTCCTTTCTGATGCTGGAGATCAAAACCAGGGCCTTGTGTATGCTAGGCAAGCACTCTACCATTGAATCTACATCTGGGCCTTTTTTGTGGGAAGAATCTGGGAACAGACTTGAAGCCTCAACCCAGTATGCCCAGCACCAGCAGTCCAAATCTGAGCTGCTGGAGGTGAGGCACTAGGGAAAGGGCAGGTTTGCAGCAGGCATGGGTGGGCCCAAGTTCAGCTGCTTGACACTGCCTGCACTCAGGTGAGCATGTGCCAGTGACCTGCACTTAATACACCCAAGTGCAGCGATGTCACTGTCCACAGTGGTGTGTTCTGCTGGGCCAGTGCTAGTAACAGTTTTGAATGTCACCCTTAGGCCCTAGGATGGGAATATTCATATCCTGAGCCTGGCAAGAGTATTAGTAACAATCACCTCTTATGATCTGCCAGGTACTGTGTGGGTTTTCTCACCTAGACCTTTCTAGCACAACAGATAGTGTGTATAAGTCCACCTGACAGCTGGCAAAAGCGGTTCTAGGCAATCAAGAAACTTGCCCCAAAATACCTACAGAATGTACACTTGAATCAACATCTCTGCATCCCTAAACTCTCACATCTGCTATCTTCCAGTCTCCAGCATTCTTGTGTGAAACAAATCCTTGTCTCCCACACTTCAGGTTTGATGTGTAGAAATTTGATTGCTGGAAAGTTTGCCCTCCCTAACCCCTAGACACAAAGAGTCACAGCCCCTCACACTTGGCCTGCCCTGGAGTCAGGGACAGGACAAGCCTGAGTGTACAGCTTTCTTCTTCTGGGGCCATAAATGTCCCTGGCAAAACCTGTGTACACCTGTTTGTTGGTGCACCATGGTGTGCACCACAGTCTCCACTAGGGGGCAGGCAAGGACCAGGGTCTGTATCTTGCTCCTTGGATGCTCTAGGGCCCTGGGATGGGACCAGTGCAAGGGCCTAAGAGAGTTACAGGAAAGAGAGCAGCAGCCCAGGTAACCCCTGTCCCCTGCCTACCCTGTCCTAATTGCCTGCAGCACTGTTGGGAATCATGTACGAGGACAAGGAGAGGCAAGACTTCATCTTTACCATCTACCACTGGTGGCAGGCTGTGGCCATCTTTGCGGTGTACTTGGGCTCCAGCTTGCCCATGAAGGTGAGGCTGGGTTGGGTTAGGAGCCCCACTCCATATCCCCAGGCAACAGAGACCTTCTGCGCTTCCTGGCCTTACATCCACCTAAACCATTAGGCTGTGGGCCAAAGACTCCTTCCAGACCATTGTGTGATCCTAAAACCAATATTCCAATTACTACTTCATTACCTGCCAGCCTCAATTTACCCATCTTTGAAGGAAACTACAGTTTGCTTTTTTCCTGTTGTGCACATCCCTTCCTCCCTGTGGGTTGTTCAGTCACCTCTTTGCCAAGTGCTGGGCTCCTGAAGCCCACAGTCTATCTTGCTTTATAGCCTGCAGTGGAGCAGGCTCCTCTGTTGGTGTGGCCATGGAACCCAGGGCCTCAGCCATGCTAGGCAAATGCTCTACCATTGAGCTTTGCCCCAGTACGGCTTCTCTGCTCTGCTCTGCAGCCTCAGGAGGTCAGTTTAGTAGTCTAGTCATGACCAATATTTTAAACAGCGACACAGGAGAGAATAGAGAATGTGCATGCAAGTATGTATGTATGTACTCAAGGTGCACAACTGTTTTTGACTGAGAGTTAAGCCAAAAATGAAAAATGTCTGGAAAGCATTTCTGTGATCCACTGTGTTCAAGGGATCAGGAATAATCCAAGCCAATGATGTCGAACCTTTTAGAGCTTTCAGTGATAACAAATAGCCTGCCATGGCACGCTGCCATAGGTTCACCACCACTGACTAATCTTCACTTTTACCCTTCTAGGCAATGGATTATCATTTGCCCTTTTAGGGAAACTGAGGCTCCCAGGAGTATGGCGTTTGTACTAGATAGTGTTGAGGTTGAGTGTTGCCTCAGGAGGGTTGGGGTAATTGAGGGCCGGGAGGCTCCACAGACCCGGAAGAGCCATCCTGCTCCTTGCACACAGGCTAAACTGGCTGTGCTGCTGATGACCCTGGTGGTGGCTGTGGCCTCGTACCTCTGGATGGAGCAGAAGTTGCGGCGGGGTGTCCTTCCGCGCCAGCCACGTATTCCGCGGCCCCAGCACAAGGTGCGTGGCTACCGCTACCTGGAGGAGGACAACTCGGACGAAAGCGACGCGGAGAACGAGCGCTGCGGGGACTGCGGCCAGGGAGTCTGCGCAGAGGAGGAGGAGGAGCCGCAGGGGGCGCCTAGCCCAGGCTCGGATCCTGCAGGCGGCTGTCGCAGGCCCTGCCCTTACGAACAGGCGCAGGGAGGCGACGGGCTGGAGGAGCAATGAGAAAGAGCCTCGGACTCTGCCTTTCTGCTGCTTATCCTCAGTTTACCACCACAGGCTGAGGGTGCTGGGTCCCCTCTGGGATCTTTCCATTAGCCGGAAGGACCCTGTCCCCTCCCCTGTGTTCAAGACTACCCCTTCCAGAGCCTGGGTCCCCTGGAACTTCCACAGCCCCCTCCAGGACGAGGTGAGCTCTGTGACCTCGAGGGGCTGCCACTTACGACCCTGCGCACAGCCCACTGCACCAGCCCTTGCTCCAGCCCCAGAGGCAGGGACCATGTCTCCAGAGCCGCTGCGTGAGAGGCCCACCTGCTCTGAATAGCTTGTGACACGCTTAGTGCATTCCATCCCAGAGTTTTGCTCAGAAGCTCGACTTTTTACAGAAAGTAACCAATAAAGAGTTTTTTTGTATTTTTCTGATGAGGGAGTCTGGTGTTATGTGGGGAGAGGAGAGCTTACCTTCCTGGTGGGACCTGGCTGAATCAGAACTGCAGGGTGTGGGGCCGGGGAGATAGCTCAGTAGAATAAGCGTTTCCCTGGCAAGTGCAAGGGCCTGAGTACAATCCTTGGTTCTGAAAAACAAAACAAAACAAACAAACAAACAAAAAACAAACCAAAAACTGCGGGGTGTGAGAAGACAGTGACAGCCTCCCGAGTTTGGGTATCTCCCAAACCCAGCCAGAAGCTGTCTTCCCTTGTGCAGGCCCTGCCTCTCCCCATGCCCACCGGTTCTCCTCATCCATCCAGGAGTGGTGGTGTGGTGTGGACATTGCCTGACCTGTGCCTTCCAAAGCCTGCGGTTCAGGTAGCCTATATGAGTGTCATCTGTACTTCATCTCCTCCCCTCCAGGTCTGTCTATTGCAGGGGTGTGTCTACAAGCAGTCCAAGGGACACCTCTGTGTGTGTGTGTGCATGTGTATGTGTGTGTGCATGCGTGTGCATTTGTGTATGTGTGTTGAACCAGGGTCTTGCTATGTAATTCAGGCTGGCTGTGAACTTACTATGTAGCCCAGGGTAGCCTCAGACTCTCAGCAATACTCCTGCTTCAGCCTCCTGGTTACTGAGATACAGACCTGAGCTACCCAGTTGGAAACACTGTGGGGTCATGCCCTGTGCATCAGACCTGGAAAATGGTCTCAGAGCCAAGATAAACTTGTCATTGCCTGGGCTGACCTTCAGGCTGGATGGCCAGAAGCACAGAGGCTGGTGGAGGGGTCAGACCCCATAACGCCTGCATATGTATGTTGCTGTCTCCATCTAGCCCCCACCATCAGAACAGACAGAGGAGCTCTGAAAGGTTGAAGTCCTGGGAGGACTGTAGAGTCCCCATCTCCCTCTCCAGAAGTCTTCCACTGGGGCCACACCGTTCCTACTCGGCCTCTTGATCCCGGACTGAAGGCCAGACATGTCCCTACTTCCTGGTTCCACCCACCTCAGCCCCACGAGGTACCATGGCTCCTCTCTTGCTCTCTGCCCCCACAGCCTGTTCTGGAGCCAGATTCTGAGGCCTCTCAAAGATCCAACCCATCTGAGCCAAAGGTTCCTTCCTAGTGGTGCATCTCCACGCCATAGAGAAGTATGGTGGCCGCATAGTCCTCAGGCTCTGTGGAAAACTGCCAAGGACACACCAGGAGACATTTTTCTTCTTTTTTTTCCATAATTTTATTGAGAAACAAATAACAAGACAGTTTCAAGCCAAATTGGAAGGACAGTTTCAATAATTAACACATTGCATACATTCTTCCTAGTGGTTAATTGCTGTACAAGATGCGGACTTGATATCCTATTTACAAACACCATTAGAACAAATCCCGGGCCAGGGAGATGGCTCAGTGGAATAAGTGCTTCCCTGGAAAGTGCAAGGGCCTGAGTTCAATCCCTGGTTCCGCAAAAAAAAAAAAAAAGCCTTCTATTCATTAAGAAAATGTAACTAGGGCTGGCGAGATGGCTCAGTGGTCTAAAGCACCTACATGGAACAAGCTTGGCAAAGCACAGGGACCATGGTTCGATCCCCCAGCACCACATGCCAGCCAGCCTCGCCCCCTGGTGGGCTGAGCTGGCCACACACACACACAATAAAATAAATAAATGTTAAAAAAATAAATAAATGTAATAAATAAAAATAAATAAATATTAAAAAAAAAAAGAAAATGTAACTATATATCTATCCTAACCACTTTGAATACACAGATACAAAATGGACATTCAGGGGCTGGTGAGATGGCTCAGTGGTCTAAAGCACCTACTTACAACAAGCTAAGCTAAACAAAGCACAGGGACCGTGGTTCAATCCCCCAGCACCACATGCCAGCCTGCCCCGCCCCCTGGTGGGCTGAGCTGGCCACACACACACACACACACACACACACACACACAAATTAAAAAAAAAAGGACATTCATCTGTATCCCCTTTTTTTGTTAAGTTCCATCATTTAAATATTATAGGTGTGTAAACTCAGCAAAATATTGTAAAAGAGTTCAGTAGTCCATAATAGTATTGGGTCTTCTGCTTCACTTTTTTCTTCTTGCTCTATTTTGGTTTAGTTTTTTAAAAATACAGTCTTGCTATATAGTCCATGCTGGCTTCAAACTTGTAGTCTTCTTGCCTTAGCCTCAAACTGGGATTAGAGGTGCGCACCAGCATGCCCAGCGAAGACAAATTAAACTGTCTGACTTGGAGAGAAAGCACAGTCTTTTAGTGATAAACAGACTCTAAAACCATCTCTGAATGTGTTCCATGGTCTCAGAAAAATGCCTTAGCTCTGTCTTTCTTTGTCATTTGTTGTGAAAGTCAGGCGTGTGACACACTTTTGGCAGGATTCTGGCTAAACTCCAGCTAGAGTTAGGTGACTACATGCTACCATAACAAGCATCAGAACCAGGTTGGGTACTATTTAGAAGAGTATAGGTCTTGGGTGTGTAGGTAAATGTGGGGAGGGGCCTGGAGAAATGGCCCTGCAGTTGTTGTAGTTCAAAGCTATCATAAATGTTCCTTATGCTAAAGGATAAAAGTTGTGGTGTGGAGCAGACCTGAAGGCCCAGGCACACAGAATACTGTAGGGTGTGTCTTCCAGCCAAGCTCCTGGTACTAGGAGCTCATGGGGCAAGAGGAGCCCACATACCACCTGGCTGCTCCTGGCACATAAATGAGACCCACAAGCCCTTGAAGTTAGTACTGAGAGCCAGCAACACACATAGAGGACAGGCATGGTAGCAGGTTCTAGCAGGTTGGCTCTCCTTGATTTCATTACCAGTTAGGACATTGGTATTAGTGTCACCTCCTTTGGTTGTGTCCCTGGATAAGGTGGCCAGTGCAGAACTGGACTTCTGTGTGGAAGATCAGCCTGGGTTATAGCCTCTGCTTCTGAACACCATTTTTGCTCAGAAGGGTATCTGTAATAAAGTCAGTGTGCAGGACAGAAATTTTAAAAAATTATATGATTTCACAAATCTCCAATCTAAGATGTCAGCTATCTTTAAATCTAACTAGCAGGTGAAGTAGCTTGGAAAAAGTCCTAAACACCTAGAAATTCTAGGTAAGAAACAAACTTCCTTTTAAATACATAGCTGAGAGTGTAAGAAACTAAGCAAAGTTCCTTAGGGCCAAAAATGAAGAAGGAACTGAAAACCCAGTAGAAACGAAGGACGTGACGCTCAAGCAGCTGCCTAGTTTGAGGTTTAGGGGCCATGAAGGGCACAGCTGAGGGTAGGGGATGCTCACAAGTCAGAGAGTTAGTATTAGGGCCAAGCATAAAGCTGAGGCCTCAGAAAAATGCTTTTAGGCAAAAAGAAAGAAAACACTTCCACCCAGAGGAACAGAAAGACGTAAGGAAATTTGAGCTTTGGGCACACAAAGGTTCCCTCAAGACTCGAGACTCGGAATTTCAGGCTTACTTTCTCTTAGCTTACGCTCTCTATAAAGAAGTGCACCATCTGTAAGGTCTATGAATCCTGAAGTTGAGACATTAACATTCAAATTAGTCTTCGTCTAGTAATACCTCCGGGGTTCCTGGAGAAACCAACTCATGGAGCTTCCCAGATGAATCACCTAGGTCTGAACATGCATAGCCCCTCAGATAAAGCCCTGCTGAAGCTGAGCTCATGATCCAAAATCACAGATCACAGAAGGAAACAAGCTGCAGTAAGTAGAAGACAGCAGATCCCGGCTCCAAACAGCCCCAGCAACGTACAGCTGTTCTGTATGGCTGGGTTTTTTGGTTTTTTGCAAAACTGGGGATTGAACTCAGGTTCTTGTGCTTGCCAGGGAAGCACTTATTCTACTTAGCCATCTCCCCTGTTCCTTAACTTGTTTTGAAACTGTTGCATTGCTATTTTATCTTTTTTTCTCATTAAAATGAATAAAAGATTAAAAAAAAGAAGAAGAAGAAGGCCAGTAGAGGCCAAGAGTGCGCCCCCCCCCCCCGAAAAGGACGTTGGTGCTTTAACCATGGAGAAGTGAATGCTGTTCACCATCAGAATAAATGTGGAAAAAGGTTGTCGCAGGAGCGCTCAGCCCAGCCCACACCTTGGCTGTGGCCTCATAAGCCCCTGCCCAGAGAACCGGCCACACTGTGCCAGACTCCTGACTCATTCTGACAGGGCGATGACAAAAAATGGTGTTCCTTTAAGTTTTTAAAATTTTATACATTTTGCTACAGTAATAGCAAGGTGATATAAGGGCCAGGGAGAAAGCTCAGTGGACTAAGCGCAAGGTTCTGAGTTCGATTCCCAATACTGCCACACATACACACACACACGGAGAGCTAATATAAAGGCAACAGTATTAAGATATCACTTCTGAGTGAGTTTGTTTATTTATTTGTCTGTTTGTTTTTAAACCAGGATCTTACCATGTAGCCCAGGCTGGCCTCAAACTAATTATGTTCCTGCCTCAGTTGCCCAAGTGCTGGGATTATAATGGTGAATCAACCTGCCCAGTTTGAGAGTGGGTCATTAAAAAAGTTGATTCCAGCATGCTTTTTTATTTGGTACCAGGGACTGAACTCTGGACCTTGTGCTTGCCAGGCAGGTGCTTAAGCTGCAGAGCTATCTCCCCAGCCCCATACCCTGCTTCAGGTTTGTTCGCTTTGATGAAGCTACTGCCACATTGTTAGGTGCCTGTGGACAGGTACACATGACAAGGACCACAGTCTACAGAGGACTGAGGTCCTGTCTCAGTCACCAAGGATAAACTGCCAGCAGGCAGCAGAGCAAACATGGAAGTAGATACTTTTTTTTTTTTTTTTTTTTGGAACCAGGGATTAAACTCAGGCCCTTGCACTTGCCTGGCAAGCGCTTATTCTACTGAGCCATCTCCCCAGTTCTTTTGGTTTTTGCACAACCTCTGCCTTTAAGATAGCAGCCTGGACTGGGGAGACAGCTTGGCCATCTAAGCGCCTGACTGGAAAAC